GCTTTATCTCGGTTTGTACAGGGGATATAATTTATAAAATGTTTCCCTTTTTAAGTGTATGTCCAAGCAAAAGAAAAAAATGCAGTATATCCCTTCTTAACATGCACATTTTCCTTTATTTCATTCATTTTAAAAACCCTGCAAGCAGAGAAATATCCATTTATTTTAGTGGAATGGAGATGGGTTTAAGCAGTGATGGGAGAACCTTTTTGAGCCCGAGTGCCCAAACTGCAACACAAAAACCAACTTATTTATTTCAAAGTGCCAACTCTGCAATTAAACCTGAATACTGAGTTTAGAAAAACTTGTGCAGTTGTCCAAATTAATTAACATCTTTTGTCTTAAAAGAAAAACAGAATAACTTTTGTGGTTGGTGCCATAGTGCCATCTGACACTTGATGTGCGAAACACAACACTTTCACACACAGAATACATAACACTTTCTCATTGTGTTCAATCACTCCAAATGACTCTGTCCAGGCCTCTTAGAATGATATTCCACTATCTGTTTTCAGTTTTGCTTTTCTTTGCTGTGCTCATTTTTTTGGTGTTCAACACTTGGAGTCTGAGAAGAACACAAAAAACAATAAAAATGATTTACTAACCCCACCCATATAAGATATGTCTTTAAATGTTCTCAAAATATGTCTACATACAAGTCCGTACAAGAGCAACTTACATTTTGTAGACAGATATAGGCATAGCCATAGTCCAGCTTCCTGTAAAACAACAAGGCGCGCTGTGCCCGGGTAAGAAATACTCATGGATACCGCTGTGCCACAGGAGACACCGCTCTGCTGGGTCTGGAAGCTGGTTGTGTGTGTGAAGGATCCAGAACAGAGGGCTGTAACGCCCACAGAGAGGGTTCTGCATGCCAGCTGTGGCAAGCATCGCTGGGTTAGAGTGTTCATCATCTCAGGTTTAGGTGACAGTGGTCCCCCTAGGACAGAAAAGGTGGGCATATATCCCTGACATGCAATTAAAACCAGACAGAGGTCCAAATTCTTCCCTTCCTTATTCAAAATAGAAACCTGTGGTGGAGGTTTGCCTTAATATACATCAGCTCATATAAACAGAATTATGGATAGCATATTCAGTTTATTGTAAAACAAGTTGAATGATTGTCTTAAATAAATGTACTTGGGTTATGAGTGCAATAGAGATACCAAGATTGAGATTTAAATATTGCACTAAATATGTTTTTAACTTAACCACTTCAATACTAGGCACTTTTACCCCCTTCTGCCCAGGCCAATTTTCAGCTTTTAGCTCTTTCACAGTTTGAATAACAATTGCGCGGTCATGCAACATTGTATCCAAACTAAATTTTTATCATTTTCTTCACACAACTAGAGCTTTCTTTTGGTGGTGTTTAATCACCACTGGGCTTTTCATTTTTTGTTAAATAAACTAAAAAAAGAACAACCATTTAAATAAAAAAAAAAAGGTTTTTCTCCATTTCTGTTATAAAATGTTGCAAATAAATAATTGTTCTTTCTAAATTTACACCAAATGTACACTACTACTTTTCTTTGCTGAAAATAACCCAAATTAGTGTATATTATTTAGCCTGTAGGAAAGTTATAGAGTCCACAAACGATGGTATATATCCGAAAATCAATCAATCCTGCTGTACTGACAGCCTATCTCAGGACAATACAGATATCCCCCAAATTACCCCTTTTTTGGAAAGTAGACAGTCTGCAGTCTTCCCTTTTTTTAAAATGCTGTCACCAGTGCAGTGCAGCATCATCATATAACTGGTGTGGCAGTGATCATGGATACTGACTGGTGACCGTGTGGGGGAAAAAAAGTGTTTATTTTTTATTAAATTTTTCTCCGTTTTTAAAAAAAAATAAAACACTGTGACCAAAGTAATATAATGTTATCATAGTGCTCAGTATTTTTTTTTTACACATTATGATTGTCTATAGCAGTGAATTTCATGGCTAGAGGCAAGCATTTAACTGAATGAAATCAATTCATTCAGTGTTTTTTGTTGTGATTAGCTATGATTAGCCATAACTAATCACATGACACAGATGGGCTGTGATTGGCCCAGTCTGTACAATGTGATTACTGTGACCAATCACAGCTAGCAACACAATTGTATACAATGGATGGCATGAAAGGAAGCCATCCATTGTTTACAATTGTCATGTGACCTGTTGTGATTGGTCACAGAGGTCACATGGTACTGGCAATGGGCCGATACACAAATCAGTCATTGGCTGTTTCAGATGGATAAAACCCCTGTCAGTTTTTTTTTTGGCTATCTGTGTAACATTGAAGAGATTTCCCTTTACTTCATGTGCTATAGACACAACAGGAATTGAAAGGAAATCCCTCCAAAGTGAGGAAAACCAGAACAGATTTTCCCAATCTATGGTTTAAGACCAAATTGACACTGATGCGGTGCGGAAAAACACTGTGAATCCTGTCTGTTTCCAGCACTGCATTACAATCACATGGCATTCATGTGATCTTGTGCGGGTGTCAATATTAAAATAATTACACCCCGAAACAGATCGCAATACGCAGATCACAAAATGTATGGCTCAAATCGCACCACACAGACATCACATGTAATTTGTACAGGAATGTGGTACGATTCCCGTGCGAATTACATGCGGTGTCCTGCTCCACATTACTGTGAACCCGTTCTAAGATTTTCCCTCACTTTCAAAATGGGCAAATAGAGGGAGTGATGATACAGAGAACAATACAAACTGAAAGGAGTTCTAACCCATCGTCCAAAACTAAGGATATGCTCTATGCACATAGTGATATTGCATTTAAAGCTCAACTCCAGGAATTAAAAAGTTCACTCTTGCAGTGGGTAAATGGTTATTATAGTGGTTCCAAAGCTAAAACATTTTTTTAACTTAATGCATTTCCTGCATTAAGGTGAAAAAAGGATTTGCAACTTGCTGTGTCCTATCCCCTTGTATTGATCCAGTGCTGTGCCTGGCTGCAGTTCTTCTCCTCTCTCTCTCTCTCTTCTCACAGGATGTTCCAGCAGCGGCGTGAGCCACTGGCTTCTGCTGCTGTCAGTCAAATCCAGTGAGCAGAGAGTGGGTGGCTGGTGGAGACAAGCCACACTGTGTGCACATTGCAGGTAAGTAGACAAACACAGCCCAGCTCAGGATTGAGCCACCAAGTTTTCCCCCATAGCAAGTGGCTTGCTATGCTGACAGAAAAGAGGAGAGCATTGGTTGGGGACTCCAGAAGAGCAGGTTCAGGGTCACTCTGTGCAATTGCACAGAGCAGGTAAGTTTAACATTTTTATTATGTTAGTAAAAAAAATTGCATTTCTAATAACTTTAATGCAGGCTCTATCACTTACCTTATACCATGCTTTGGGCCGGCTCTAGCACCCTCCTCCTCTTCTGGTTCTGGTTGGTTAGTGGAACCTTTGCATCATCACATACAATAAAAGGACATTAACGTTGTATGGTATGTTGAGCAGGCTGGAGTGCGACTGAAGGAAGTCGCAGCTTACAGAGCAGACTGCGAGTGACCGGTCACAACGCTTGTGGGAACCTGCTGGAGCCAGGAGTAAGGTAAGTTTTTACTTCTTTTCTGTGCACCCCTGGACATAATGAGCATTTAACACTTGTAGTGCAGGGTGGGAGGCACTGCAAGGGTGAACTTCTTAAAACTTCCTAGAGTTGGGCTTTAACCACTTCCCCGTCCGGCCCATGTACATAAACGGCTGGACTGGAGCAGTGCAGGAGCGGGTGGCCATTTATAAATGTCCTCCCACATCCATTGCCTCTGGACACAGCGGAACACCGATCGCTGTATGGGACCTTTGTGCGAGGTCCCGATCATGTGATCACTGATTGGCCAATCAGTGATCACATGAATAGTATTAAGCAAGATGTCATTTGCTGACATCATTGCTTGCTTACTACTAGTGAAATCTGTAAATGATCACAGAGGTCACATGGTACAAGGCTATTCACAACAGCCTTGTACCATGTGACAAGCTGTGACCAATCACAGCTCTCACAGTATTTCTCAATGGCTGTAAGAATGCAGTCAGAGATAAGGGGAAATGATTGCTTTAACAGCCATTATGGGTGTAAAAGCAATCAGTGTAAAAAAAAAATTCTTCATCACCCCCCCACAAGTAGTACAGGTCTAGGGTGACAGTATGTAAAAAAAAAACATAAATAATAATATAAAAAAATAAAATAAAAATGCAAATAAAGTTTTGGAAAATTATACTTTTTGGTTTTAAACTAATTTAGGTTTTTTTTTTTGTACTAAAAAGATAGCTGAATACATCTTGGCCAGGATTTATGAAGAAAGATTATTTATTTGCAAAAACACTTTTTTTCAAAATGTTTGGATTTTTCAATTATATAGCAAACAAGTAAAAATCCCAGTGGTGAATAAACACCACCAAAATAAAATGTTATCTGTCTCAAAAAAATGCTAAAAAATTCATATCGGTACAGTGTTGCATGACCGCGCAATTGTCATTCAAAGTGTGATAGCACTGAAATCTGAAAATTGGCCTGGGCAGGAAGGGGGTGAAAGTGTCCGGACTTGAAGTGGTTAAGCTGGCCATATACTGCTGAAGCAGATTCAGCTGAAATTCTAACAATGGTGGCCCTGGCAGCTCAGCAAATGTTGAATATTCATTTGTAGAAAGGAGCTGGGCCAAAAATTGTCATCTGAACATTGCCTGCAGGCACTGTTCTGGGATGCGATAGCTGGTGCTAGCTATACCGTAACCCAACATGGGCATTTCGTCCATCCATATAATTTGTGTGGATGCAGGAATCCAGTTATTCTTTATTTTTTCAGCCTGCAGGCTGAACAAAAATAATAATTACAAATGTATTACCAGCTGTATACTATATACTTCTGATATGTTCCAATTGTTAATTTGTTTGATATGGGCACATTTTTCACAATGATCCATGTGGAAACTAAAGTTAAAGTGTACTTATATTTTCACCATTGCTGCATATCTGTTCATTTTACAGGACATTGCAAAGTTTCCAGAGAAAGACAATACCGTTCTAGGGGAAGGAGGGATCACCCTGAGTGGAGGACAGCGGGCACGAATCTCTCTAGCAAGGTAAGACTTTTTTATTTCAACAGATTCTCACGCATATCTAATAACATCATTGCTTTGCTGTACTCCTTGAATAAATGTCACATTGTAAATCCAGTTTAAGAATAAAATGACTTCCTGCGGTGTTGATAATCCTCCTCCGTACATAATTTCTAATAACAGATGACAGTCATTTAAAAAGGTCATCTTGATGTTATAGTGCATGTTTGTAATATAGAATTGTTTTAGAGAATAGAATTAGGCAAAAAGTTGATTTAGAAGGATTTGATATGAAGAAATGGCCCATGAAACAGCGAAACATTTAGGACAGGTTTATAAAGCAGATAACAGGATTATCTTTTAGCCTTTATAGGTATGTGGAAACTGTTACGTAAGAGTGGAGGAAAGAGTATGTGTTTTGCTCTGACTCCATGATCACACATAGTTCTCATCTGCCAAGGAGAAATTAGCAGTAGATGTCAGAGTGTGTGTTTTTTCATGACTGTAAAATTTGCCGTAGACATCAGAGGGTGATCTTTTTTCATGAACATGAAATGGCTGAGGAGTGTGCATTGCTATGGAGAGGAGAGGTAGCTGGAAAATATGCACACTAAAGTATTTACAAATTCTGAACAAGCAGCAAAAGCACTTTAACCATTTACGACTGCTAAATGTATATACAGTGAAGGAAATAAGTATTTGATCCCCTGATTTTGAATGTTTGCCCACTCACAAAGAAATGATCAGTCTAAAAATCGAATGGTAAGTGTAATGTAACACTGAGAGACAGAATAGCAACAAAAAATTCAAAAGAAATGCATGTCTAACAAATTATGCACTGATTTGCATGTTTATGAGGGAAATAAGTATTTGATCCCCTATCATTCAGCAGGATTTCTGGCTACCAGGTGTCTTTCATACAGGTAACAAGCTGAGATTAGAAGCAGTCTCTTAAAGGGACTGCTGCTAATCTCATTTTGTTACCTGTATAAAAGACACCTGTCCACAGGAGCAATCAATCAGATTCCAAACTCTCCACCATGGCAAATACCAAGGAGCTGTCCAAGGATGTCAGGATTGTAGACCTACACAAGGCTGGACTGGGCTACCCAACTATCACAAAGCAGCTTGGTGAGAAGGTGACAACAGTTGGTGCAATCATTCGCAAATGGAAGAAACACAAAACAACTGTCAGTCTCCCTAGGTCTGGTGCACCATGCAAGATCTCACCTCATTGAGTGTCAATGATCATGAGAACAGTGAGAAATCATCCCAGAACTACACATGAGGATCTTGTCAATGATCTCCAGGCAGCTGGGACCACAGTCACCAAGAAAACAATTGGTAACACTCTACGCCGACAAGTGTTACAATACACCTACCATTCGATTTTTAGACCGATCATTTCTTTGTGAGTGGGAAAACATTCAAAATCAGCAGGGGATCAAATACTTATTTTCTTTCACTGTATGCAGTGGCAGGATGGGTGAGGTTAATACCCAGCTATGGCATATACAGTATGTGTCATCACGTACAGTGGGGATCGAAAGTTTGGGCACCCCAGCTAAACATTTGTATTAATGTGAATAAAGAAGCCAAGGAAAGATGGAAAAATCTTCAAAAAGCATCAAATTACAGATTAGACATTCTTATAATATGTCAACAAAAGTTAGATTTTATTTCCATCATTTACACTTTCAAAATAACAGAAAACAAAAAAATGGCGTCTGCAAAAGTTTGGGCACCCTGCAGAATTTATAGCATGCACTGCCCCCTTTGCCAAGCTGAGACCTGCCAGTGTCATGGATTGTTCTCAATCATTGTCTGGGAAGACCAGGTGATGTCAATCTCAAAGGTTTTAAATGCCCAGACTCATCTGACCTTGCCCCAACAATCAGCACCATGGGTTCTTCTAAGCAGTTGTCTAGAAAACTGAAACTGAAAATAGTTGACGCTCATAAAGCTGGAGAAGGCTATAAGAAGATAGCAAAGCGTTTTCAGATGTCAATATCCTCTGTTCGGAATGTAATTAAGAAATGGCAGTCATCAGGAACAGTGGAAGTTAAAGCAAGATCTGGAAGACCAAGAAAAATATCAGACAGAACAGCTCGCAGGATTGTGAGAAAAACAATTCAAAACCCACATTTGACTGCACGATCCCTCCAGAAAGATCTGGCAGACACTGGAGTTGTGGTACACTATTCCACTATAAAGAGATACTTGTACAAATATGGTCTTCATGGAAGAGTCATCAGAAGAAAACCTTTTCTACGTCCTCACCACAAAAATCATCGTTTGAACTTTGCAAATGAACATATAGACAAGCCTGATGCATTTTGGAAACAAGTTCTGTGGACCGATGAGGTTAAAATTGAACTTTTTGGCCGGAATGAGCAAAGGTACGTTTGGAGAAGAAGGAGCACAGAATTTAATGAAAAGAACCTCTGTCCAACTGTTAAGCATGGGGTTGGATCAATTATGCTTTGGGGTTGTGTTGCAGCCAGTGGCACAGGGAACATCTCACGAGTAGAAGGAAAAATGGATTCAATAAAATTTCAGCAAATTTTGGATGGTAACTTGATGCCATCTGTGAAAAAGCTGAAGTTAAAGAGAGGATGGCTTCTACAAATAGATAATGATCCTAAACACACCTCGAAATCCACGGGGGATTACATCAAGAGGCGTAAACTGAAGGTTTTGCCATGGCCTTCACAATCTCCTGACCTCAACATAATTGAAAATCTATGGATAGACCTTAAAAGAGCAGTGCGTGACAGACAGCCCAGAAATCTCAAAGAACTGGAAGACTTTTGTAAGGAAGAATGGGCAAAGATACCTCAAACAAGAATTGAAAGACTCTTGGCTGGCTACAAAAAGCCTTTACAAGCTGTGATACTTGCCAAAGGGGGCAGTACGAGATATTAACTCTGCAGGGTGCCCAAACTTTTGCAGACGCCAATTTTTTGTTTTCTGTTATTTTGAAAGTGTAAATGATGGAAATAAAATCTAACTTTTGTTGACATATTATAGGAATGTCTAATCTGTAATTTGATGCCTTTTGAAGATTTTTCCATCTTTCCTTGGATTCTTTATGCACATTAATACAAATTTTTAGCTGGGGTGCCCAAACTTTCGATCCCCACTGTAGTTCTGGGGAGCACTTTATCAGTGCCCCAGAACTGCAACAGAGTTGTCACCTACTGTCGATCAGGAGCTGGTAGGATGGGCTCCCAATTATGTCATCATTGTGCACCCAGTCACTGCAATCAGGAACCCCTCCTTCTGACTTCAGGCAGCATAGCCTATTTAACCCCTTGGCACTGGCGCCTCCCAGCCCTTTACGGGTTTCAGAAGCCAGGAGGCGGGGCGGGGTTTAGGGTCATGTGACCACCGTGACACGCTGTCATGGCGGTCACATGATTGGGAAAGGTCCCGATCGAAAGAGGAGATTGGGACCATTCCGTGAGTACCAGGACATGTGTGCTGGGAGTGAGCAGGGCACACGCTCTGAGCACATATGTTTTTTTAATAGAACACAAATGTGCGGCCGCTTGGCGTCTAGTGTTTTTTTTGCATCCTAGTCTCATATCAAATATTGAAGAGGTTATGAAAATTCTCAGATTACAGAATACAACTTTGGAAGTGATGTAATGTATTGCAATTGAAAAGTGAAAGGGTGCTGCGCTACTTAGTGTATGAACAATAAACCATGAAAACAATTATAAAATTAATAAACATATGCCCCTCATCCAAGTGTAAACATAACATATGCAAAGGACATGTGAATGGGTGCAAAGACAAAACAATAATAGCAGCACAAAATGCTATAATGTGCTGGTGACAAAAGTGAACATAGTAATAATGATGATGTGTATCGTGTTGATAAACGTGCTTCAGTTCCAAAAATTGATTGTTAAATAAAGTGACTCAGTCCAAAAAAATATGACATTCCCAAGACACAGGAAAAAACACAATCAATCTTCAGTTCGCACCATGAAACATCCAGTGCAGCAAATATATACGAAAATATCCTCCACCGGCTAGCGTGTGCGCTCACCTTCAAAATGCGACCCGCAAGGAGTCACAGAGCATAGAGAACCTCAAATGATCATTCCAAGAAATTGGTCCTCAATAGCAATCAAAGAGCAAAAGGTCATCCACAATGGCGCTGACAAGCACTTGTAGGCATGCTCCAGAAATGGCTGCAGACTTCTATCATCAAGGAAGCATGGTGACGTCATATCCGGTACGGACGGCAGCCACCATCTTGGTACTCCCGATCACATACACCTTCCCTGCAGTTTTTTGTTGCAAGAATTTTGCCTTTTTTGGTCTGCGGACCTATTTTAAATGTGAGTAGCTTTTTGTGGATATTGTTTATAATAATGTTTGTGACATATTACACTATGGGAGTCTTCTTGCTTGCATCTTCTATGTGAGGGACTGGAGGTGATAGAGGTCATGCGGCCATTTATGTTCACTTTTGTCACTAGCACATTATAGCATTTTGTGCTGCTGTTATTGTTCTTTGTCTTTGTTTGCACTCATTCGTGTCCCATAGATTTCATGCAAAGTAGCGTTCCATAGAATTTCATACAAAAATGCTCCCTAGTGACTTCAATGCAAAATTGTGTCCCATAGACTTTAATGCAAAATTGCGTACCCATAAACATCAATGTAAAAACGCCCCCTAGTAACTTCAGTGCAAAAACGCCAGCCACATTAATTCATTTTTTTTTTAATTTTAAAACTGTCAGTTTCGGTTTTCGGCCAAGTGCATCCTGAATTTTTGGTTTTGGTACACCACTAATATCCAAGTGTTGGGGACCATTTTTTAAAACATTTGAGGTTGATTTGGAATGGAATGAATAACAGATTTTAGGTGTAGCTCAAGGGAAGGAGAGGAGAATTGCATATCAATGTTAGGCTGGCCATAATTTCCAAAACTGTGTAATATAAGAACCAACCTAAGCAATTTATTCAACTAGTATGCAATCAGGCAGGCCCTTGCAATATATGGCTGTTTGTAGATCTAAAGGAGATTAAAGTGATTGTAAAAGTTAAAATGTTAAAAAAATAAGAAACATGTAATACTTACCTGCTCTCTGCAATGGTTTTGCACAGAGCAGCCCTGATCCTCCTCTTCTGGTGTTCTCCACCGGAGCCCCTGGCCCCTCCACCCCATTGAATGACCACCATAGCAAGCTGCCATAAGACACACAGAGTGAGGCTCTCTCCCTCCTCACTGGCTGTGATTGACAGCAGTGGGAGCCAATGGCTCCCGCTGCTGTGTGTGAGCCAGTGGGGAGGCAGAGAGCTGATTGAGACTCTGCTCTTGTGTACACCTCTTGGTTGAGACATGGTTATGGAATAGGGTAGCCAGGAATGCTGTAAAGTTTCTGACATTAAGCATTTTATATATTATTTGAAATGAAAATTATATGGCATGGTACCCGCAGATGTCAGAAGAAAAGAGACAAGAGGCGCCCGTCTGAGTGTAGTAATAACACTGTATTTAATAGCAAAGGATTAAAAACACTCACAAAGGAAGTAAAAACAAGTTCATCTGTGTATATGAGAGATGATCATTCCTCAAAATATCCTCCAGGCACCACTGGTGGTTGGTGCAATAGCAGCTGGGCTGATGGAGATGGTGAGAGACACTGTAGTGGTCAATCCTGCAGAGTGGTGGTGTTGTAGAGCCGATCCAGCGGCGTTTGTGCAGAAAGGAGCCTAGTAACCAGCATGGAACACACCGACAGGATATGACATCACTTCTAAAGGCCAATAGAAGGAGCTAGAGGCTCCAAGCGTGTAGCTTGACTTTCCCACGTCTGTGCTCTTCCTCCCCACTGACCCTCTGCCTCTTCCTTTGATGTCACATCCTGTCGGTGTGTGCCATGCTGGTTACTAGACTCCTTCCTGCACAAACGCCGCTGGATCGGCACTCTGTAGGATTGACCACTACAGTGTCTCTCACCATCTCCATCAGCCCAGCTGCTATTGCACCTGCCACTAGTGACGCCTGCAGGACGTTTTGAGGAACGGTCATCTCTCATATACACAGATGAACTTGTTTTATTACTTCCTTTGTGAGTGTTTTTAATCCTTTGCTATTAAATACAGTGTTATTACTACACTCAGACGGGCGCCTCCTGTCTCTTCTCTTCTGTCCCTGCCTACAGAGCTGGCTTGCTCCGAAGATGGCTGCCGTCTTTGTGCTAAATCACTGATTGCCTGAGACACTCTTATAAGGACTTATTGTACACCAATGCATTTACATACCCTGTTTTAAGTACTTGTATGCCAATATTGCCGTTATCTTTTGCTTTATAATTTTTATCCTTTTCACCCTTACACTACTTTACTTCTGTGCACCAGAGTTATTTGTTTTTTACCCGCAGATGTCCCTGGTACAGCCCTGTTTTATGGTCATGCAAATAGCTTACAGTCCTGGTAAATGTTTTAACTATCAATTTCTATTTGTGGTTTGTTTAGAGCGGTGTACAAAGATGCTGACCTGTACCTACTGGATTCTCCATTTAGTTACCTTGATTTGTTTACAGAGAAAGAGATATTTGAAAGGTATGTAACCAAAATTATGCACTGGCTGTCTAATACTTAAACTCATATACTAAAATCTACCAAAATAGAGCAAAATTCTTACACAGAAATAAAAAGGCAATATACACTATATTGGAAGTGAAGGGAAATCTCCACAGCAGGACATTGACAGCAAAAGCATCAGAGTGACAGCTACTGTATGTACCATCCTAAAGAGTTCAGTAATTGTATCTGCCAATAATTATTATTATTTCAGGTACTTATATAAAATATATATTGGTGCAGCGCTAAGAAAATGTGAAGAAATAACCAATGTAAATGACATAAATGCACGTGGGTGATAAATGCCACCTTTAGGATGGTACATACAGTAGCTGTCACTCTGACGCTTTGATTACAGTGCTGTCTGAATCACTGACCCAGAATAGGTATAAAGATGATTTAGTTCTGGAACTTTATTGACCCTGCATTTTTTTTTCTTAGGAGCCTGCGGAGCATTGCACCCACGATCAGCAGATCGCAGATGCAATTCCAGACTCCTGCAGACACTCAGCACAGCTGTTTGCCTGTACTTATCCTTTAACTAAAGATTTTAAGCATCTTAATCCACAATCTGTGAAACAGAATAATCTATACTGATAATATGTGTATTGGATCATCAGTCTTTAAGCAGTATATGTAGAAATGGTAGAAGCCTCAAATTTGTTTTGCATTATCTGTGATCACCAAAATTCAAGTAAATTATGCTGAGTCTATATTTTGTATTTTGGCCTCCTTGTCCATAGCTTTAAATGTACTTTTCCTTAGATGTGTGCAGGCAAAGCAGCTGCTAGCAGCTACATGATATGTATTTTGTTTACTGTATCCATCCTTTTCATTTGGCCTCTGTTCACTCATCATGCAAAGACATTCTACCTGCATATGGCAGAATGACAAAAACGACTGTTTATGATTATCTAGTTCAGTGTTTCTCAACTTTTTTTCAGTCAAGACTCCTTTAAAATTATAGGATGTCCTGAGGCACCCTTTAAAATTATGGACAGCCTCGAGGCACCCTTTAAAATGATGGACAGTTTTGAGGCACCCCATTCTAAAATGGGTGCCTCAAGACTGTCCATCATTTTAAAAGAACACCCCATTCTAAAATGTGAAAAAACATTCTAATAGTTTTATACGCAGCAACATGCACACATGTAGGACACCCATCATTAGAGGTGATTTATTCTTCCAAAGCAAATACACTTTTGCACACTGGTACTGAGTAGTATTCCAGCGTTTCTCTTCTCCCTCGGTTTTTCCTCCATCACTGAGCTAATGTGACCCCAGCACTGATGGAGAGGGGAAGGGGAGGGCCAAACTAGGATGCTGTGCAGGCAACTGACAGCCTCCTTATCAACTGATGATGTCATTGGTTGTCAGGATGCCCAGCGGCTAGAAGGTCATAATGATGCACAATGAAAATCTGTGGCTTTGTGTAACTATAGTAGAAGGCATGCTTGTTCCACCCGCTGGCTTGTATACAAGTTTTGGGCAATTTTTAGACATTTTGAAAAGGCACCCCTGAAGAAACCTCAAGGCACCCCAGGGTGCCCGGGCACCCTGGTTAAGAATGGCTGATCTAGTTTATTCATCTGCATATTTGTTTTAATAATATATGTGAGTTTTTTAGCCTAGAGCTAAATTTAGTTTTACATTCTTACTATATAATTTTTTGCAAGTTACAAATCATAGTCAAATATTTTGCGCATTGATTTCCTTTCCAGGAGAAGCATTGCTTTCATATTTTTTCAATTTAAATTCATTGTTAAAAACTAAAGAATTATCCGTCTGTAAGTCCTGATAGGTTTCCCAAAGAAAAATCTAGCTCTGAAATCTTTGTGTAAGCTAATCAAAATCAGCTTCTTCATGGCTCACACCATTGGCTAAAGAAAGATAGTTACATGGTTTGTCTGGCTGAAAAAGGACAAAAGTCTATCCAGTTCAACAAAAAAAAAAAAGAAGTTATAATCCTATACCCACAGTTGTTCCAGAGGAAGGCAAAAAAAACAAACAGTAAAGTATGATGCAATTTGCTCCTGCAACAGAAAAAATTCCTTCCTGATCCCCCAAGAGGCAATCAGATATTCCCTAGATCAACTTTACCTATAAATGTTAGTATCCAGTTGTATTCTGTGTATCTAAGAAGGAATCCAGGCCTTTTTTAAAGCAATCCACTGAGCTGGCCAGAAGCAACTCTTGAGGGAGTCTACTCCACATTTTCACAGCTCTTACTGTGATTAAATTTCTTTTCCTTCAGATGTAAAGAGTGCCCCCTTGTCTTCTGTGATGACCTAAGGGTGAATAACTCTACACTGAGCTCACTATATGAACCACTGATGTATTTATACATGTTGATCATATCTCCCCTTAATCTCCTCTTCTCAAGAGAGAATAAATTCAGTTCCTTGAATATTTCCTCAAACTGAGCTCCTCCATGCCTCTTATCAGTTTGGTTGCCCTTCTCTGCACTTTCTCCAGGTCCCCAATGTTCTTTTTGTGAATTGGTGCCCAAAACTGAACTGCATATTCCAGATGTGGTATTACTAATGATTTGTACAGGGGTAATATGATATCTCTCTCTCTGGAGTCTATACCTCTTTTAATACAAGAGAGGATTTTGCTCGCTTTAGAAACCACAGCGTGGCATTGCATGCCATTATTAAGCTTGTGATCTACCAGAACTCCCAGATCCTTCTCCACCATTGATTCCCCCAGTTTTACGCCCCCTAGTATGTATGATGCATGCATATTTTTAGCCCCCCAAGTGCATAACTTTACATTTATCAACATTAAACCTCATTGGCCAGATAGTTGCCCAATTAAACAGTGCATTGAGGTTGGCTTGTAAGTTGAAGACATCCTGTAAGGACGTTATTCCACTGCACAGCTTTATGTCATCTGCAAAGACTGAAACACTATTTTTTAATCCCAGACCCTATATCATTTATAAATATATAAAAAGTAAGTGTCCCAACACTGAACTTTGGGGTACACCACTAACAACCCTAGACCATTCAGAGTATGAATCATTAACCACTACTCTCTGAATATGATAATTTTCTATCCATTTACATACCGATTTTTTTAAAGCCTGTAGACTTAACCTTACATATTAGTCATGTGTGGGGGAACTGTGTCAAACGCTTTTACAAAATCCATGTATACCATGTCCACAGCCACCCCTCTGCCCAAGGTTTTCCTCACCTCCTCATAAAAAGAAAAAATAATCCTGGGGCAGCCTCAGAAAATCTGGAAATTTTGGCAAAGCATGCTTTTTTTTCATATATACTGCATCATGTTTCCTTTTGGCATACCTATTTTCTCTAAAATAATATTGAATAAGATTACTTTTATGATGATTACTGATTAGTTTTTCTTCCTAGCTGTTTTTGCAAGCTAATGGCCAACAAGACCAGAATTCTAGTCACCTCAAAACTGGAACAGCTGAAAAAAGCTGACAAAATACTCATTCTGCATGAAGGTACCTCTTATTTTTTATGGAACATTTGCAGAGCTTCAAGAGCAACGTCCAGACTTCAGTTCCCAGCTTATGGGATTTGATGCCTTTGATAACTTCAGTGCAGAGAGGAGAAATTCAATATTAACAGAGACTTTGAGACGACTTTCCATTGACAGTGAACCCATAGTTGCTAGAAATGAAATCCGAAATAAGTCCTTTAAGCAAGCAGCAGAAATTATGGAGAAGAGGAAAAATTCCATTATAAATTCTCGGAAATCAAGTAGAAAGTTTTCAATCATGCAGAAATCTCAGCCACAAATGGGCGGAATTGAAGAAGAGTCCCCTGCAGAACCAGAAGAAAGAAAACTTTCCTTAGTTCCTGATTCAGAACAAGGGGAAGCGATCCTACCACGGAGTAACATTCTCAACACAGGTCCCACTTTTCAGGGTCGAAGGAGGCAGTCAGTGTTGAGCCTAATGACTGGTACATCAATTTCACAAAGTCAAGTTGCTTTTGCAAGAGGGAATGCTTCCATTAGAAAAATGTCAATGGCCCCCCAATCTGTAGTAACACAAGAATTAGATATTTACAGCAGACGTTCATCTCAAGACAGTGTCATGGAACTCAGTGAAGAAATTAATGAAGAAGATTTAAAGGTATAAATATGATTTGCTGATTTCTTAAGTTGTCTTATTTTAAAATATGTTTTTACTATGTCCTTACATTACATTAAAGGGAAACTTTTCCATAGTTAAGGGATAGCAATCATCTGTCAAATACCAACCTGGATGATTAGTTCTTTAATATAAAAAACCATGAAAGTATTGTCTGGGCTCCAGAGAATTAAGTTACATTTTGTACAACATGAACATGCCTCCATCAAGAGGATGGGTTTCATGCTTGTAAATTGAATTGTATATTTAAAAAAAGGAAATTAATTGAGTTTCCAGGCTCTTTTACATATAAACTTAAAGAATAATGAAAACCAAAACCTTTTTTTTTTTTTGTTTTGGACAGAATGGAGAGGAAGCAGAACAGTCAGGTTTTTATTGCTGTTTGTGCCCCTTTAAGGGGAGATTCACCCTCTTTATTTGTGATATTTACCATTATCAATGAAAGTGAAAGAAAATCCCTAACATTAATATAGGGAAAGTCTTCCAATGGGGGGCACTATTTCTGGTGACAATTAGGGATTCCTTCACTTTGGAGGGATTTCCTCTCACCTTCTGTTTTGACTATGGGACAATTAAGGGGAATCTCCTCAATGGGACACCTATGGCAATAGTAAGGCATTATAATCCAACATTACTGTCTCCAAAATGAAAAAAAGGTTTTACATATAGATATACTTTAATTAAGCCCCATAAAATGGTGTGGATTGGCACAGGGACATCATACCTTACTCCCCATCATATTCCAGGGACATCATATCCTTACGTTACAATCGTAAAGCAGGCCACAGACAACACATTTTCCCAGGTGTCTGGCTTTGATCAGATAATATGTATAAGTTCCTGGAAAAAATAGGTCACATTTAGGGATCCAAATACATTTGGAAACTGGAATCCTTCTTCAGGATTAAGTCATATTTTGCTTCACCAATTCTTGTTAGGTCCCTTTTTCTCCCCCAGCATGTTTTATATTAACAGACCTAAAATGCAACCTGGTGATCTTTACTGTGTAGCCTGTACTGTATCCCCAGCCATGACTGACCTACTGTCATTTACTTTAGTGGGGAAGACAATCGAAAGCTTTACAAGATATGCTGTCCATTGAACTGAACTGAGATTGGGCCATACATATGTTGGGGGGATGTGATGCAGAAGTAATAAGATTCTGAAAATGTATTGCACATGGAGGGGTGTGCAGCCAAGATAGTTATTGAAATGCATTTTTGTACGTTATCTTACCAAATGCTGGGGATGGAGCACTAATAAATATATGTACTCATTTTTAAATGGGAAACTAAACTGCTTTTAAAACTATTAAGTATAAAAGGTTATCATACAGAAAGGTCATTTATTAGACTTGACTTTAGTATATTTTAGATCTGGTACCTCAAATTAAACAAAAGTCAAAGCCCAGTTTATCAGTCTCCATGGGATATAATTAGTTGGGTTGGAAAACCATATCCATTCACCATTGTTCTCCTGCAAAATAAGCTGGTATAGGATCAAACATACCTCAGTTTCTTCTTCCTGGCATCTTCTTTTTCCATAGTGTTATATTGCAAGCTAGAAGTGAACATCAAAATAAGGGAAAAATTGTTGCCTCACACCTCACTAGGCAGAAAGTTGTGGAAAAACTGCCGTTTTGCTATTGCAAAACAAATAGATAAAATCAACATCACAAATTTGGTCTAAAAATTCAAGTCTATAATTGGTATTGTAGAGGAGCAGGCCTTCTTTGAGAACCATCATTAAAAATATAATTGTCAAGCTGTAGACTAACTACTTTTTACAAAACCATAGTTCTTTTCATTACTTACATGTAGTTAGAGATTCATGCATGGCGTTAACTAAGTTATGTTTCCTGCTTTTTAAAGGAATGTTTCCTGGATGACACAGACAGCGCATCACCGACTACCACCTGGAGCACTTATTTCAGATATGTCACCACTCACAAGAGCTTAGTCTTTGTTCTTGTTCTTGTCCTAGTGATTTTCTTGGCAGAGGTAATACTTTGAAAATATATAACCTAGCAATAGACAATGTTTTACTTACTTGTACAGTTTATTACTTAAGGAGTTCTCATATTGTGCTAAAAATGGCTAAATAGCTCAGAGCAGCTTCCCCCCCAGGAAAAGAATTGCCTATTAATAAATGGCATGCAGCTGATCAGCACTCCATGGTACACAAGTGAAAGGGTTCCCCTTTTCCTCCATGGAAGTGGAAAACCACTGTAATGTTTGTACTCAGGATCTGAGATGAAGCAGAGGTAGTATTATAACCTGCCACTGTGACATTTTGCTGTCATCTGCTATCTGCAAATAGTTTTTGTCAGTTCCACTTCCACTACAAAAATGTTCAGAATTATCTATAGAAGAGCAGAAGTCATTAACTGGTGGGACAGATTATTCCTGTGGTGTAACAGTGAACCAAATACAATTGTAGCATCCTGTGATCATGTGTCATTAAAATGTGTGTAAACCATAACAATGCACTTCACATTTTTTCTTCCTTTTGGTATCATAAATATACTATTGAAAGCAATTTGTTGGATCTGTTTGATAGTTGCTAAAAAGCCTGTTGATTTTGCCAGAAATTCAGTGAGCTCAAAAGTTTCCATGCACTTCTGTTTCATCTCAAATATTGTTATCAGCTCTGTCCAGTTCACCTTCTCTCTATCTAGTGGAGGGGAGGAAAGGGGGAGGGGTCCTACAGACTTAACACAATTTCTTTCTTAGGGTGACAACAGAGTCACTATGAATACAGTACAGTAACTGAACGTTGTCACCCTAGGACCAGAATACTGGCAGAACAACCAGGTGAAATTAAAGAAAAAAAAAAACAATGCAGCCACCACATCTAAGGACTGGTAAGCTGCAATATACACTCACCAGAAACTTTATTAGGTACACCTGTTCAATTCCTTGGTAACACAAATTGCTAATCAGCCAATCACATGGCAGTTACTTAATGCATTTAGGCATGTAGACGTAGTGAAGATGACTTTCAAACTATCAGAATGGGAAAGAAAGGGGATTCAAGTGACTTTGAACATGGCATAGTTGTTGGTACCAGACGGGCTGGTCTGAGTATTTAAAAAGCTGCTGGTCTGCTGGGATTTTTATGCACAGCCATCTCTAGGGATTACAGAGAATGGTAAATATCCTAGATTGTAAGCTCCAAGGAGCAGGGCCCTCCCATCCCTCTTGTATTGAACTGTATTGTTGCTGTATTGTCTCCCGTTATATTGTAAAGCGCTGAGCAAACTATTGGCGCTATATAAATTTTGTATAATAATATCCAGTGAGCAGCAGTTGTATGGCCAAAAATGTCTTGTTGATGTCAGAGGTCAGAGGAGAATTGGCAGACTGGTTGTTACGATATTCAGATGGTAGGGTCAGAATCTGGTGTAAACAACATGAAAGCATAGATCCATCCTGCCTTTTATCAACGATTCAGGCTGGAGGTGTAATAGTGTGGGGATAGTTTCGTGGCACTAGCAAGGTATACTTAATAAAGTGGCTGGTGAGTGTATTACATTTTGGTTCTTGGCCTTAGATACACTAAAACATGGGGCCATGTATTGCCATAGGTAGCCATTTTTCCCATACAACAGGGGTTGCTACCCTATTGCAGTTACTGCAGGTGATTTAAAAAGTGTGTTTGAAATGCCAAATTGCACCCAGGTACTATAGGCATTAAGTCCTACACAGAATATTTATTTCTTTCAAATTCCCCAGATTCTTTAAAGTGTAGCTCATCCATTTCTCAGATAAACCAAGAGCATGTTTGGGGGTGGATGCAGCACACCTTTGAACTTTTACAATGGTGAGTTCTTTTAAACTTAAACTTTGGGACAAGAAAATATTGCCGAAATACAAGAGGCTTATGTATTGTTTCTTGTATCTTGGTGTGCTTAGTGTATTTTTTTTTTCCAGATCTGTGTAGTAATCCAGTGTGAAACTTTGTCTCTGTATGGGAGTTTCTTGTATTAGGACCAATCAGTGCTGCTCTCTCTACTTGTGCAGTGTGCCTGGTCTTGTCTCCGCCCCCTGTATTTTTCTGCAGGTAGTTTGTAGTGGGTGGAGATGCTGGGTTCTTCCCACAGCTCTGCAGTCCACACAGGCTATTTGAAGCCCTACTTTTATAAGGTGATAACTGGATTTTCACCATACGAAGTGGATGATATCTATGATTATTGAGGAAAATATTTAAATGAAAGTTTTTGTGCCCAAAGTTCAGCTTTAATAAGATATAGGGATAAATGAAAATGAAACACTGGCCTCTTAGGTCACTGGGAGGAAGCAGAATGAGTACAATGGGATGAGGAGGCAGTCATATAATTTTTTATATTCTTCACCTCCAGTGGCAGAATAGAGTGGTGGGAAAGTGAAATTAAGTTACTTTCTGGTTGTGTCAGTATGGTACTGATTGTGTCTCTGTGGACACAATTTCTGGCTGTGTCTGTATGATACTGATTATACACAATCTAGACAAGCAGCAATGACTATCAGCACTATCTGCTGTAATCAAAAGACCCCCAAAAATGCACACCCTTTGTAATATATATTAGCAAATAACTGAAACCAAAAATCTTAAAGCTAAACAACCGGTATAATCTTTATTGCATACTTACATTGGTTCAGTTTGGAGAAATGTGGGAATACATATCTCATATTTTAGCTGCCACTGGGGTAGCTGATAACTAATGTAGTAATTGGTGCTACTGCAGTGATAGCTGTAGATTTCCAGATTCTGTGCCAACCAGCTTCCCCAATGCATACTGTCCACAGGGGTTTGCTTGCTCAGTACTGCCACCATTCAACAAATGTCCTGTGAAGAGGAGGGACAGTGACATCACAGTCTCCACCTTTTTCAATAAGAGAACACTTTGTATTTAAAAAATGCAAGACTATGAATGGTGGCAATACCAAGTGAATGACTCCCTATGGTGAGTGTGAATGTAAAGGGGAAGCTGCACAGGACCAGAAAGAATGCTGATATTTCTGTAGTAGCACTGTATACTACAGTGATTTTAAGCTTCTCCAGTGGCCCCTCAGATATAAGATGCATATTTACTGTAGTCCAAGCTGGAGCAATGATAAGCCTTGTATTCACGGGCCAAACATTGGCCAAAATCAGCTTGTTCAGTAGGAAATGGCTGACTTTCGGTTCCTGTGTACAGCTGTCTGTTCTACAGAAGCTGGTCTCAGGACTGGCATCTGTCAAACAGGCATGTTGGAAAACCAGCATGTGACCCGCATTGGATCAATGGTTGCCAGCGCTGATCATTGTATTCAAGCAGGAGGGAACCCCCTTTGTGATCCCCCTGTCGGAACACAAATGCACAGCAGGGGAGATCGCCATATTAACATCGCTTGTCCGCTGGGTTGAACAAAAAAAACTTTTAGTGTGTACCAGGCTTAAGTATGCAATAAAGATCATACCTGGAGTTCCACTTTAAAAACACTGTATAATTCTCTTATAAAGCAATAAAGATAATAAGAGTATCTCATACATGGACAGGTAGAACCAATATAAGTTAATTAAAATTCTCTCAAACAGTAGCAAATCCAGATCTTTTAAATGTTATAATATATAAGCAGCAAAAGAAAAGTGCACTGTGCATCTGTATAAATAAATAAGCACACATGCTAATTTTGTATATACACTATCTCAAAAGATATTTTCATAATTTAAAATTCTGTACTGATTGTGTCCTATGGACATGTTTCTAGTTGTTCCAATGATAATTCCACCGTATTTGTGTTATCTCTTTATGTTCATACCAATGCATGTGTTCTGTGTGTGTTGGGGAGATGGTGGACAACCTACTATTTTTTGGGGGGGAGAGGGGAGGGGGTGAGCACAAGAAAGCTGGCCTAAGGGAGTTTTGCAGATGCTGCCATGCTGATTGATCTCAGTGTACCATTGCTCATTATAATTACGGTACTATTGTTCTCCTGAGATAATGCCAGCACCAAGGGTGCCAGTATCTGGCATTAAATCAGATGCTCAGCTGATCCCGTTGTGAATGTCTGTGTAGCTGTTGTTCTATGGAATGACTGCTTGGCATTAGTGTCTTCCATATACCATCTTATGTTTTTTGGCATCTTCAGCTTTAGATCTACAGATTCTACAAGAGATAATATTAATATGTGCTGTCTTGCCTTTTAGGTTGCTGCTTCACTGGTTGGTCTTATGCTTATAAAGGAGTAAGTATGTTGTGATGCAGAAGATGTTCTGAGTGGCACCTAAGTCTGAAGGTGGCTGTTTTTTATATTTTTAAAGTCAAATTGGCAGCATGAGTCCAGGCCCAAAATGATAAAATATCTTAACTGGAAGGTTTTGCTTTGTGCATGGTACTTCAAATAATCTATTATTATTATTATACAGGATTTATATAGCGCCAACAGTTTGCGCAGCGCTTTACAATATAAGGGAGACAGTACAATTACAATACATTTCAGTACAGAAGGAATAGGAGGGCCCTGCTCGTGGAGCTGACAATCTAAAGGAAGGGGGAGATTATACAAAAGGTGATAGCTGCGGGGGATGATCTGGTGGAGGTGATTCAAGTACAGTTCTTAGGTGGAGGTGGGGTAGGCTTCCCTGAAGAAGTGAGTTTTCACAGATCGCCTAAAGGCAGACAGAGTGGGGGATGACCGGACATGCAGTGGTAGGGAGTTCCAGAGGATGGTAGAGGCTCTGGAGAAGTCCTGGAGGCTAGCGTGGGAGGAGTTGATGAGGGAGCTAGAGAGGAAGATATCTTGGAAGGAGCAGAGTGGGTGATTTGGCCGATATCTATAGATGAGGTCGGTGATGTAGCTAGGGGCAGTGTTGTGGATGGCTTTGTAAGCTGTGGTTAGTATTTTGAATTTTATACGTTGGGTTAGTGGAAGCCAGTGAAGGGATTGGCAGAGAGGGGCAGCAGTCACTGATCGGTTGGTAAGGTGTATGAGTCTAGCAGCAGCATTCATAATAGACTGAAGGGGGGATAGTCTGTGTAACGGTAGACCAGTGAGGAGGGAGTTGCAGTAATCGAGGCGGGATATAACCAAGGTGTGGATGAGTTGTTTTGTGGTGTCATTGGTCAGGAAGGGGCGGATTTTGAAAATGTTCCACAGGTTGAGGCGGCAGGATTTAGCCAGTGAGTGGATGTGGGGCCCAAAGGAGAGGTCAGAGTCTAGGATTACGTCTAGCACCTTGGCATGAGGAGAAGGACCAATGGTTGTGCTATTGATCTTAATGGTAAAGTCGTGAGTGGGGGATCGGGGAGGAGGAAATATTACAAGCTCAGTTTTTGAAAGATTGAGTTTGATGTAGTGAAGTGACATCCATGCTGATATGTCGCTTGGTAGATTTGTTATACATGAGGAGATTGAGTGGGTGATCCGGGGAGTGGAGAGATAGATCTGGATGTCATCAGCATAGAGGTGGTATTGGAAGCCATGGGAGGTTATCAGTTGGTCCAGGAAGGAGGTATAGAGAGAGAAAAGGAGGGGCCCAAGAACAGAACTTTGGGGTACCCCAACAGATAGGGGAAGAGGAGCGGAGGAGGAGGAGTTGTATGTGACACTGAAAGTGCGCTGAGAAAGGTAAGAGGAGAACCAGGAGAGAGCAGCGTCACAGAGGCCGATGGAGTGGAGTTTACTGAGGAGGAGCGGGTGGTCGACTGTGTCAAAGGCAGCGGAAAGGTCACGGAGTATGAGTATGGAGTTATGGCCGTTGGTTTTAGAAGTTAGTAGGTCATTAGTGAGTTTTAGTAGGGCAGTTTCTGTGGAATGTTGTCGGCGGAAGCCAGACTGTCGGGGATCAAGAAGGTTGTTGTCGGTGAGGTAGCAGTTCATATGGTTGTGGACAAGGCGCTCGAGAAACTTGGAGGCAAACGGGAGCAGGGAGATGGGTCTTACGTTGTTCAAACAGGTGGGGTCCAGTGAGGGTTTTTTGAGAATGGGGGTAACCAGTGCATGTTTGAGTGGGGAGGGAAAGGTGCCCATGGAGAGTGAGAGGTTGAAGATCCTATCTAATTACATAACCCGTGGACAGAAGGCCTAAGATTTTTATAAGATATACTGTATACATTTTGCTATACAGTAATATTTTATTCATACTGTATGTATATGCAAGTGTCCTTACACTCGTTTGTGTTTTTTTTTTTTTATATAGAAGTAATTTACAAAGTAATTCAACCACCAGTGGGAACTCCTCCAAGGCAGCAGTAATCGTGACCTCTACCAGTTCTTACTATGTGTTTTATATCTATGTCGGCGTGGCTGACTCCCTTTTAGCCTTGGGGATCTTTCGTGGTTTGCCTCTTGTGCACAGTCTCATATCTGTCTCTAAGATCCTACACCAGAAAATGCTTCATGCTGTTCTTCACGCTCCAATGTCTACATTCAACACAATGAGAGCTGGTATGTTTCTAGGCTGCCAAAGCATGGGTGAAAAACCTGCTATATAAAAAAGCACTGCTTATGACTCTGTCGTTCTTTCTTTTCCTCTCTTGGCATGCAATCTGTCCTATGACCTATGGGAATTGCGCTTTATCCTTTATTTGTTATTGAGAAGCCTTGTAACCATCCAGGTATTTATTGTTTCCTATATTGTGCACTGTTCATTGTGTTGTCCAATGAATTAATGCATGCATCACCAGGATAATGAATCAGTTAATTGGGCTTACAGTGACAGACCCAAGTGAGGCAATATTATAGTGTTAGAGCAGGCTCAGACATAAGGGCAATTAAATACATTAGGCAGTTACAGTATATATTCTAAAGCAGTTATATTTTCATATTTTATACCAACTTCCTTAGATTAGTAAACCCTTATATTATTAAACTGGTTCTATTTCATAGGCTTGGTCCTACTAAATGGAAATCTCTTGGCAGTGTTGATGACAGAAAATATTTAGCTATACTAAAACATGTGTATTGCTGCCCCTGCAGGAGCAGCTGAGAATATGCCCAGGTCTCTCACAATAGTACAGAGGCCACCAGTCACGATCACAATGTCACGAACATAAACAATAATGACTCCATCTAGGGCTTTTAAGAATTTGATGCTGAAGAACTTGAACAGGGGTGGGGTTTAGGGTCACAGGATACGCCAAAATGATAATAGCAATCAATGGGAGGACAAACTGGGAGCTGCCTGCCACCCAGCATCCACAGGTAGATCCTCAATGAAGAAGACAAAAGATCCTTCTCCAGAACAGGACTTCAGGACAATGCCCTCCAGCAAAAAATCCAAAGCAATCTTCTCCAGGACCTCAGCCCCTTTGCTGGGGTCCAGATTGCAACTTGTTATCTCAGTATCTATCTCCCAGGGATAGCAACCCCAGGAAAAACTGGAGCCTTGTCTGGAGAGGAAAGAACACTATGGAAAGGCCTCCCAAAAATATATCACCTTCCCAGCCACTTTCTGGATGCCACCTTCCAGGGATTGGCTGGGGCATGATAAATATACTGGTCGTTTGACACTCTCTGCCCTATATTCTGGAAGTTTCTCACAGGTGGGAGAAATCAAACACCTAGCTAGACAAACACCAGACAAAAGTAATAGATCACTTCTCAACTTCCTTCAGAGGAACCAAAAACTAAATTTAACCTAGCACCCTAACCAGAGGAGGACACTACATAGGTAGTAGAAAGGGAATGTTCAGTCAAAAACATTTTGTTGATCATTGTTTTAACGAGTTTTCATTTCTGTAACTTATGTTTTGGGGGTTTATGTGGCTTGATTGTTTTGCACCTATTGTGAGGCTACCAAACAGTAAAATGTTTTTGCCCTTGTTGAATTACATTGTAGCTTTTATTCACAGAGCTTTGTGTTATATTGCAGGGCGAATCTTAAACAGATTTTCAAAAGATACTGCTATACTAGATGATCTTCTTCCTCTGACTATTTTTGACTTCATACAGGTGAGCCTATTCCTCAAAAATTTGGTTTTGCAGATTTTGAAAAAATAGAAAATTTGCAGTTAGAGAGGAACTTTTCACGTCTGCTTTTAAATTAGGCTATGTTTTCTGCTTTTAAATTAGGCTATGTCTTAGGCTAATGATTGCTACAGCATCTTCATTTGAAAATCAGTGGCATGAACTGCCAAACTAGGGAATCATCTTCCAGAAATATGCTTACTATTATGATGATGATTATTTGTATTACCCTAAAGTAAAGGTTTGGCTTTGTTAGGGAAAAAAACATCCCTCCCAGGTCGAATGTATACATTGGAATAGTTTTGGCAAATTTTATTGCACATTTTTACTTGCTTCTGTTCTGTAAATGAAGCGGGTCTTATGCCATTTTTGATCCTCACTGCTGAGTGAGAGAGTGCGCTTTTGTTTCAGTCAGTCTCAAGGTTGATCTAAAAACGCTGCAGCCCTAGTACTCTGTTGCTGCTGCTCAGACAAAAGATCTTGTGCCTATGTTGAAAATCCCATTGTAGGAGATACCGTACCTTCAATTTTACCTCAAGCTGTATGCTGACTTCTATGAAATGTAGAGAGCCAATCCCAGATAGTATGTCTGGGAAGTCCTGTATACACAACACTGTTGTAATGGTTGCTGCATATTGAAATGGATTATTACAAGACAATAAAGTTGCAATAAAATCAAGACAAGGGAGTTGGGAGGCCCCTGGCCATTTTAGGTGCTTTTGGCTGTGGACATGGGTCAGCATGGACACCCCGATGGGTCTGCAGCTACACAACCCCATACAAAACAAACTGTGATGCTCATTTTTTTTGTTTTCAACACATCAATTTCAGGGACCATACATTTACTTGCTGTGAAATAAATTCCACCGACTTCTACATGGCATTGTAACTAGAAAATCATTGTTATTCACTTAACTTGTCAGTGGTCATAAAGTTATGGCTGATCGGTGTGTATGTATGTGTGTGCGTATGTGTATATATATATATATACATATATATATATATATATACAGTCAATCTTATACAAAAGTAAGATTTCCAAAATTTTTACAACACTGAGTTTTATAGAATACTTGTTTAGCTGATTGCATGAAAGTAAGGTTATAATTATAATTTAGATTACAAAATCTTCAGTTTTACTCAAATTAGTTGATGCAAAAATGAATACACCCCAGAACCAAAACTACTATATCTAGTATTTTGTATGACTTCTATGATTTGTAAGAACAGCATCAAGTCTTCTAGGCATGGAATGAACAAGTTGGCAATATATTGCAACATCTATCTTTTTCCATTCTACAAGAACAACTTCTTTTAGAGCCTGGACGCTGGATGGAGAGTGATGCTCAACTTGTCTCTTCAGAATTCCCCATAGGTGTCTGATTGGATTCAGATCAGGAGACATACTTGGCCACTACATCACTTTCACCCTGTTCTTCTTCAGAAATGAAACAGTGTTCTTAGATGTGTGTTTTGGATCATTGGCATGTTGGAAAAGTGCACAACGACCAAGGGCACGGAGTGATGGTAGCATCTTCTCTTTCAATAAAGAGAAATACTTCTGTGAATTCATGATACCATCAATGAAATGCAGCTCCCCGACACAGCAGAACTCATGGAGCCCCACAGGAGGACACTGCCACCACCATGTTTCACTGTAGGCACTATGCATTTTTCTTTTTACTCTTCACATTTGCGATGCCTTACAGTTTTGAAGTCATCAGTTCCAAAAAACTTTTGAATCTTGAGCTCAACACTCCAGAGTACAGAGTCCCAGTAGTCTTCCTTTTTTTCAGTATGGGCCCTGGCAAATTCTAGGCAGGCTTTTTTTGTGCATGGGCTTTAAGAGAGGCTTCCTTCATGAACGACACTCATGCATGCCATTCCTCTGCAGTGTATGCCGTATTGTGTCACGGGAAACATTCATCCCAGTTTGGCTTTCTCCTTCTTTGGCTAAGTGCAGTGAACTTGCATGGCGATTTTCTTTAACCCTTCTCATCAGAAGACGCTCCTGTTGAGGTGTTAACTTCCGTGGACGGCCTGGACATCTCTGTGAGATAGTTGCAGTTCCATCTTTGTAAAATTTGTGTATCACTTTTTCTACAGTACTCTGGCTGATCAGCAAAGCTTTGCTGATCTTATTGTTGCCTTCACCTTTTTTGTGTAAAGAAATTATTTTCTTTCCAGGGCCTTGTGACATTTCTCTTCCATGTGATGCCATTGCTGACAGCATGAAACGGGAAGGGTTTTTTTTTTTTTGTTAAGTAATGCCTTTTTATAACCAACTGTCTGCTGGACACCTGGTATTGAATAATTAGACTCACCTGTAGTTGAATTTTTGTTAATTAGGATTTTGTTGTCTAAAATTTAGCTTTGCTGCTAAGACTTTCATTGGGGTGTATTCATTTTTTCAATATGGTCGAGAATTAATTTGTTAGGAAAGATACTTTTTTGTGTGTGCAAATGAGCAAATCTTGTTTGCAATCAATGGCCCGCATTTGTGGGAGTATTTTGTAGTACAGTGTCCCATAGAAAATGTTGATTCTCAAAGGAAAGTAAAGATTTTCTGACAAATCTGTTGGGATATATATATATATATATATATATATATATATATATGTTACATATGTACCAATTTATGCCTCATGTAACTTTTTTTTGTGTTTCTAGTTGGTCCTTATTGTGGTTGGAGCAATAACGGTGGTTTCTTTACTGGAACCTTATATCTTCTTGGCGACCATACCTGTGATCATTGCATTTGTTTTACTTAGATCCTATTTTCTTCACACCTCCCAGCAACTGAAACAGTTAGAATCTGAAGGTAAGGGCAACAGAGATACATTATCTGAAATGCAAATATTACCTTCCCACTGTCACAATATTATCTAGTCCTTTAGAACATTCATTTGTTCTTCCATAGATTTAATATACATATTGATTTAGTTTGATCACATGGAATGTGGGGAGGAGGACAGTTTAATGCTGATGTCAACACAGAAGGATTCTCTGAGCAATTGTTCAGAGAGGTTCACACCCAAAATTCTTCTGTGTTCACAGGCTTCACATATCAGGTGTAAACTGTGCCAGCTCTGACTGTTCAATTAGTTTGGAGGCCTGTAATCTATTGCTGTTTTGCATTATAAAACAACATAAGCAGTTTTTGTAAGCAGTTACTATAATGTAACACAAATTATGTACTGAACTTATAACTGTGCCCTCTATTTAATGCCCTGTGTTTATGGGTGTTAGTCTGCATTTATAAAGAGACATTCGCTGCATCTGCAACAGAGTTTGGTTATGAATCGAGCTAAGAGATCGTTGACTTCTGTCCTAATCAAAGTTGACAGTACAAGGTTATTCAATTGTTTTTACTCTAAAAATCTAATTGATTGCCTGCAGTGTCTGGGAAGCATTC